TAAGATAAATCTACCTTTTTTCAGGCTAAAATAATCTACTGTCAAAAGAAGATAAGGTGGGACTTTTTGCGTCTCTACTTCCTTTTAGAGGAAATGGAGTATTTGGCAGTTTTACTGAGGAAAGGAAGGGCTGGGGCAGTTTATAAACAAAGTCGCTGGTCATCCTCTGGCACAGAATGAACTGTGACGTCCCGATTTTACAGCATGAAATACTAGAGAAAGCTATACTCCATCTGAAATAAGACGTGTGAAATTTGTCTAGAAAGGGCAAAAATGTGACCTTTCGTGATTCAGATACACCAGTGAAGACATTCTAATAATTTGGATCAAAAGCAGAACGCAAAACACCTTTAGTGTGCCACTCAGAAATATATATATATATATATATATATATATACTGATATAACACGCTTTCGTATACTAACTCACATGCTCATTTTTTTCCAAGTACAGTATATTTTTTAAAACACATAAAATCATTATTTTTATTACATTTGATGAAGCACACTTGATCCAGGTATGTGCTGCTTCTGGTCATTTGATTATTTTTAAAATGTCTTTTTAATCAATTGCACTTAAAAGTATCAGTGTGTTGATATAAAGCTTTTACTGCACAGGACTGGCCTATAATACCCTTCACAGGGAAGATTAATGAGGAAAATCTATGTTCTATATAAAAACAAAATCAAATTTCTATCATTTGTCTAAAATTTTAAGTTGTTTTCAGATAAAAGTTAAAATGAATTTCAGATATGCAAAAAAATGCCATTTTGTTTGTTCTTTGAAATGCATAAGGCTTTCTTCATTTAAAAATAGGAGAAACTAGGACAGATGCCACCTGGTGAATATAAGCAGGACTGTAGTTCTAGAAATCTAAGGATAGGATTTGCAAGAAGAGGGAGTAAGAGAGGCGCTGCTTCCCTGGCATTAGCCAGACGTTTGGGGGCTGGGCCTGATAGCTTAGCAGACTAAAGTGCCTGCTCAGGCAGACTGCAGAGGCTGGGGTTCGATCCCTGGCACGCGCCTGTACTGCAATCCCAGCACCTGAGAGGCTGAAAACAGGAGAATCACTAGGAGTCCGATCTACTTAGCGAGACCCTATAGATCCTGTCCTAAATACAGGGGGGGGGGAGATCTTTTTGAAATTTACCACAAACAGAAATCTCATAAATACAAGATTTCCTCTGGTCTTTATGCTCTAAAATTAAATGTCCACTCCCTGTCTGAGCTGAAGAGAAAGCTGTTGATTTGTTTTCATTATTTGGGATAAAGAAGTTAGAGTCATAAATATGTTTGCAGGTAATTTTTATCTCAAGAAAAGCATTTATATAAAATATATAAAAATGCACAATTCTTCAAAATTATAATCATATATACACACGTATTCTTCTGTAATTTGTCTATTTCACTGAATATCACGTCTGGTTTTCACTAGTATTTTTATGTTTCCTGGGCAAATATGTTGCTTTTTTAAGTGATTCTCTGTTATCATTGACTCACCTGTCTCTGGGTTAGTTTGGCTAACATACTACAAATATGAACCCTATATAGTTTATAGATATTCTACTTTTCACATAATTTATACCTCTATTTTCTACCATACACACTATTTAAAATTTCTCAATAATATTGTAATTAATGTTATATGCTTTTAATTTTTAAATCATTATAAAATAAAGTCTGATTTGAAGCCAAGCATGGCAGTGCACACATGTAACCCCAACATTCTGGGAGGCTGAGATAAAAAGATCACGATTTCAAGCCCAGTCTGGGTAACTTAGTGTTATGGCCTATGTCTAAAATGTCCCTCAAAGCCTCACATGATGCCAGGTAGAGCTTTAGAAATAGCTGCATCATGTGTGTCTGGTAACTGGATTAGTCCACTGATGTGATTAACATGTTTCTGGGGGTGGCTAGGTGGAGTTATTGATGACAGAAGTCCTACCCTGAGTCTGAATGGTACCAACTAATGGGTTTGTAACCTGAATGAGATAAAAAGGGAAAGGGAGGCTCACTGCTGCTGCCTTTTGCTGCCTATCCTGCCATGATCTCTTCTACCATGCCACCCTCCTTGGAGCTAACTAAGGACTGAAATTTCTACAAACTGTGAGCTAAAATAAACCTTTATTCTTTCTATTTATGAATTTCAGCTATTTTTTGGCAGTAACAAGGAAATAACTAAAGCACTTAGTGATTTAGTGAGACCCTGCACAAAATTTTTTAAAAAATTAAAGGGTTGGGGATGTAGCTCAGTGAAAAGGCCCTAGGTTCAACCCCCAATAGCACTTAAAAATATTTTGTTCTAGACAAAATGAATTATACCCAATAGGAAAGTATTATTTACAAAAAAACTAATAAATTATTGGTGCATATGTGGAGAAATCAGAACCGTTGTGCTGGTCAAAATGTAATACAGTAGAGTCCCTGTGGAAACAGTAGGGAAGTTCTGCAAAAATGAGATACAGAATTACCATATGATCCAGCAATTCTACACCTAGGAATATACACCAAAAAAAAAAGAGGATCAAACAGATTCTTTCCCATCCATCCTCATAGTAACATTATTCACAGTAACCAAATAATAAAACAACCCAAATATCTACAGATGGGTGAATATATAAACAAAATTACATCCATGTAATAGAATATTATTCAACCTTGAAAATGAATAAAATCTATTAGTTTCTATAACATATGTGAACTTTGAAATTATTATGCAAACTGAAAGAAGTAAAATACCAAAGGACAATTACATACTCTATGAGTCCACTCTTCTTAGGTATTAGAGTTCATATAGACAAAAATAGAATGGTGGTTGCCAGGGGCTACAGGAGGAGAAAAACAGGAAATTATTATTTAATAGAGTTTCAATTAAGTTAAACAGAGTTCTGGAAATGAATAGTGGTGATGGTTGTGTAACAGTGTGAATATGCTTTTATTTTCTGGTGCTTGGTTTGGAACCCAGGGCCTTGCACAAGCTAGGCAAGTGTGCTACCACCAAGTCAAACCCCAGCCTGATGTGAGTGTACTTAATGCCACTGAACTGTAGGCTTGAAGGATAATTAAAGTGGTAAATTGTATGTTACTATTTTGCAAATTAGTAATATTGTTTGTTGTAACAGAAATTGAGCAATTCTCTGAGAATCATCACAGGTCAACCTCCCAAGGAGATTAGCACATTCAGAAAGCCCTGTGGCAACAAGACACAAAAGGCAAAGCTTTAGAATAAAGTTTAAATTACTGTACTGTCCTAACTGCCACCCACTCTCAATGATGAGGATTTCACAAGTGTAGGAAGATAGGGGGTGTTTTTGGAGCTTGCTTAATCCATTTGCCCCTCTGCTTGTTGGCTACTGGGAATTCATATTATGTGAATTAGCCACATATAATATGTACATATTTGCTATAATCATCTCAGACAAGATTTACTGCTTTTTTCTGTATATGATGTTTTCAATTTTTTTTTTCAGAATTGGGATTGAACTCAGGCCCTTGCACTTGCCAAGGAAGCGCTTATTCTACTGAGCCATCTCCCCGGCCCCAAGATCTGGTCTATTAACAGTGGAAAGAATAGATAATTTGGTGCAGATAGGACCTGATGATATTTTCATGTTGTAAGAAAAATCACTTTTGGGGCTTGAGAAAAGCAAAAAATATTTAAAAAAGAAAAGTAAAAAGTCTTTATGTATTTCCTCTTTTTAAAAAATTGTGCCTTATATCCTAGATTACTTTAAGAGAAAAACATAAGAAAATCTATAAGGATAATCTGGCACTTCAACAAACATTAGTCCTGGCCTACATATGCTACTTTCTCTCTCACATAAAGACATGACTCCAACATAAATTTCATACCCCATAGCTGTCATAGACAGCTTCTGGAAATGTAAGTTATAAATAAAATATACACACATTTGCATAATGTATTAAGCTTTGGTGTTATGTGTTTATTGCAAGATAAATCTGGAAGAAAAAAAAATACTCCCACTATTTTTTAAATTTCAGGAGCCTATTTGCCCCTGTTAGGATAGTTCTGGTTTAACATTAGAAAGGAATCATTCCTATGCTCACTTTGGTAGCACATATACTAAACTGGAATGATGCACAGAGGATTAGGCATGGTCCCCGCACAAGGATGACACGAAAATTTGTGAAGTATTCCATGTTAAGAAAAATGAATCACTCCTGCCTAATCAGTCTGTCTCGAGGTTTATCAGTTCCCAGTTATGGCAGTAGTCTGTCCAAGCAGTACTAGCCAATCAGAGTCTCCAGGCTAATGCAAGCATCCTTGTCCAGAATACTGTCTGGAACAGATAAGCCACTCAGTGTGTGGAAATAAATGAGGATATGTCCTTGGGCTCAGTCTCTAAATGACTGCAAGTCTTCTGGGGGGGGCTATAATCACAGCCTCTGATAAATGGAGCATTACAGGTTCTGAGTAGTTTAGCATATCAGGCCTTATTCTGTACTTGCAACACATTAGTGAACAAAAGCAAAGTCCTTGTAAATTCAATCTAGGATTGTAGAATACACAGGATGAAACCATAAACATTGAAATACCACATACACTATAATGCCAAGTAGTGGTAAGTGGTATGCATACGAATGTGGATACCAGTCTTAGATTAAATTATTATTTCCCCAATAGTTTAAAGAATGGTTGATGCCGATTTTGGTACATTGAATATTCAAGTTAAGTATAGAATATCATATACATAGTAAAAATGCTGATTACTGTGGTAGGGATGGGAATTAAAGAGTACTGAGGTCATGTCAAAAGAATACAAGAAGTCAGGTGTGATAGCACACACCTGTAATCCCAGAATTCTCAGAAGGCTGGGGCAAGAGGAGGATTGAAAGTTTGAGCCCATCTTGGGAGATTTAATAAAGCCTTCCCTCAAAGAAAGAAAGAAAGAAAGAAAGAAAGAAAGAAAGAA